TTCGATATTCCCGACAGATTTTCACCCTGCCGAACAACCAGCCAAAGCATTTTAGAAAAACTCCCACTATCTATTTAGATTTTAAATGCTTGGTTTGTTTTTACCTAAATCCCCTTGCAAAATCAAAAAACGCAATTGTTTGTTCTGATGTTCCGTGTTCCCTGACATTCCAGAGTTCATTACTTTAAAGAGTCTGGAATTAATTCCAGATTCTTTAAAGATTCTGGAATTAGTTCCAGATTCTTTAATGTAACTTTTTGAGGCAAGGATGGTAATGTTCCAAGAGAGAAACTTTCATTTAAAGCTGGATTGATTTTGCCGAAGTTAGGGGGAAACAGTCAATTTTGAATAAAGCTATATCGCGGAAGCGAAAAAGGCTGGAGATTGTTTAAAAGAAGAAGCTAAAAGGGCGGGCAACGCCATTAGAGAACTAACCGTAACTTGACGTGGCACCACGTTGGTTGCTATAGAAATAAGAGACCCAAGATCATGTTGGGAACGAAGTGATTTTATCGCTAACAGAGTCGGCTTTTTAAAGAACTTAACACCTACCAGTTGTGTAATGCAAACCCCTTTATTGGATAGAAGTATATCGGATGACTTTAGCAAATACTGCATGAATTGCCAAATACAGTGAAGTGTAATGAAGCATTATACATTGTGTATACGACGGGAACGATATACTGATGTATAATGATTTTGTTGAATAAGGATTGTATACTGTTCGGTATATAACTCCTTCTTATTCATGTGTGTACTGAAAATTATACTTTCCTTACACATAGTGTAAGGTGAATTATACAAGTAATTTAACATACTTAGCAAAAAGCTCTCAACTGGACATATTTAGTATGTATACACTGTAAAATGAGAAGAGCCAAATGACCCCAAAAGCCAAATTGGCCCCAATTTATCGAGGGCCAATTTGGCCAATTAAGGTTCGTTTTCGACTATTTGAGCCAAAATGGGTGAGACAGGTACCATTCCGACCCTTCCAAAATCTGAATTGGCCCCTATGAATTCTACGTTGCGCGAACTTTTTTTCAAGTTGGCCCTTCAAGGAGCCAAGTAGGATTTTCCAATTTGGCCCCAGAAAGGCACAATAATTGTACACACAGTGAACAGGGTTACTACTTTTTGCTCAGCTTTATGCAGTAGCGAGGAGTGTGTTTCTTGCCTCCAGTCGCATGAGACTTTAGAGAGGATAGGTAAGCTAAAGAAATTTGCTTAACAACACATTTTATTGCAACTTTATCTACACAAACTTGACTCCTCCACTAATCTTTCTTCGTATCTTATCTTGCAGAAAAGGACAGTTTCGATACTAATAATACTAATATAGTTTATATCTGACCACTTGCAGCCTAGAGGCTGAATTACGGGTGCAGTGTAAGGTTGAGAACAGACGTCAGCATAGCAGGCGATGGTGAAGATCTCCTTGGTACTGCTCAAGTTCTAGAATAACTAAGGCAGTACTTTCCCTTAAGAAAAGAGCGACTAAAATTCAACAAATTTATCTTGATGAACGCTGAACCTAGACGAATGGGGCGATTTCTTCGTCGGTAAGATAATTAATTTTCTCGCCTAAGA